GATGGGACACCGAAACCGAAACCTAGAAATGCGTCCACGTTAAACATTTTCGTCGTTTTTTTTGTGCGTGTTTTTTTATGTTGTAGGATATTTAGTTGCCCAATATCTTCATAAAATAAGTTTATTTATTAGTTTTCGATTATGTCCGCATGTTCTTAAATGTAACCATTAATTTATATTTATTACATTAAAAAATTATTAAATTGCAGATATTTTTTAACAAATTACCATGTTTGTTTGTTGTGGTTTCTTTTTTTGTATTTTGTTTTTGTTGTTGTGTTGTTGTTTCACGGGGTTTGCAATCCCTGATTGCTGGGGCTAGTAGCTTGTTCTAGTCGATTTTTTTTTTCTCAACCATTACCTTATGTTTAGGGATTTCTAAAAGTCTTCGCTTAAACGCCCGGTATATTTGCGACCGTACATAATACAGGTGCTGACTGGGGGCGTTATAACAAAGCATCCACGTGCCGGCTTTTAGGGTTCATGGCCCCCTATTATTAAAAGATGCAGAACAAAAGAAGCAAAGCACATACAAAACTTTGACAGGCAAAAACAACCGAAAAAAAAAACAAAAAAACAGAAAGGTTACTATGGTTCAAGTTTGAGAAGAAAGTATAACTGGAAGGGACACGTGTCAACAATTGTGCATCTCTTTCACAAAAGAAGTGCATGTCAGGGTCTTTACCCTGTGTGGCAAAGCGACTGCAGCTCCGCGCTTGCGTATTGTGCTATCGATAGGGAGCTTTCGTAAACCGCGTTTCCCCCTCCGCTAAGCCCTCCGCAACGAAGAAGCCGCCACTGCGCCTGCGCGCCCATGACCTTGACTGTAGAGCTCCGGGTATCGTAGCGGGTTGCGGAGGGCGTTGCGGGACGGCGAAAACGATCTACGAAAACTCCCTATTGTGTTGCCATCGCTGTTTACGCGCCGTTTCCTAACCGCTTTCTGAGCACGATTTTGAGAATTTTCAACCTATAGTTTCGCATCTGTTCTCTATTGTATTTCCTTGCATCATCCGTACCACGTCTACGACGAGCCTCCTCGGCGAGACGGCGAGACGGCGAGACCTAACTAGAATTCGCGCTCTTTGAAACTCTTCACGGACTTTCCGAGGTCTAGCCTTACGGCGTGCAAGATCGTCTGCTCGAATAGTCGTGCGCATGCGCCGGGAGAAAGGGGGGTACGACAACAAAGGGGGTCTCTTTCGAACGCCCGGCCTCCAGCATGCGTACGTCGTCTTTCGTCATGCTCCAACGACGAGTTCAAGCTTGAGGTTCACGAGACGCCGAAGCGTCAAGAGTGTTGAAAGTAATGGAATGTACACTGACCTTAATAGACCAATACCACTAAGCGTTCCACGCATGCGTGATGCCGCCATAACTGGAATTCACAGGAGGCAGGTGACAGTGCACGAAACATTCCGTGCCTTCTCGTGCTCCGCTCGTTCCGACCCCAGCAGGGTTGTCGCGCGTGCAGAAAGCAGGGGTTAAGTTGGGGACCATAAGGTCACTAGAAAAGACACGAAATCGCTTAATTAGTTTGATAACAAAACTGCGAAGTGTTTACTAACATTTTACAACTTCAGTCTTGGAGGCATATTGTACTTGGGAAATGGAAGCTGGATCTCATGACTGGTCATGACGTGAAATCTAGATCAATCTAGATCTAGAGCTACGGGACGAGAAATGTCATCGTACGCACGATCTTGGTCACCATAATTTTGCCTAGCTGGCACCGAGCCTTGGTCTTTTGAAGCTCCACTGACGGGCAGCATTTCAGAATCAACGTGCAATGCTGTGTGGGAGCGTCCGTATTGTGTCGTTTGTCCTCAGACTTTGGAAGACAAAACCAGTTTACAAAAAGAAACAAGGTTTTAATTGGGGTTTGACAGAATTTTAAGTACTAGTATATGAGATTCGTATTTAAAATACTTCGGTCAGTTTATATTTCACACGTACCCACATATTTCGGAATGAATTTGTCGATTGCGTTTAAATACTGAACATTTGCGTCGGTAAGGCCAGTCCATCTGTAAAGCCTAAATAACTTATTGTGTAATTTAACGATTACTGAAAATTCGTGATATTCTTAAGCCATGGCTACAGAAGGTAGCAGGTTAACCAATCCAAAACAAACCAGTACAGAAGCTTTTCTATCAAGATGGGCGTGCTGTATTTGTTTTACGCCTATGTTGCTATTTTACCTTACTTCCACCGACATGGCCATCAGTTCACATGTACACAAGTAACTGAATTGTTTAGTAATCACTTTTATAGTTTTAAAAGAAAGTTATTTTCACGCACGTGTTCGTTATTAAACGCATATGCCTCCGTCATCCCCGTACATCTTTAATACAATTTTTTGGGCATTATTGTCCAACATTTTTATAAAAAAAAGCAATGAAGCAGGTCCTAAAATAGCGCGTTGGCACACGTAACCTTGTACGTAAAACATACAAAAAGACTCAATAAAAATAAAAACGTCTGCATGGCGATCTGAATTAACGCATTCTATGTTGTTTTAGCACTACTCATCTTTTTTTTTTTGGTTTCAAGATTTTTCAGTAAAATCTCATAATGCACAGTATCAAACGCTTTTTTCTAATTTCAAAATGAGTAAAGTATAAACACCTTGTCTAATAAAAAAAACAGATGCTTTGTATCAATGGTGCTCGTTCTGTGGATTCTTTTTCTAACATTAATTTTTTGCCCGCGTTAATTCTATTATCATTATAGAAAAAGTTTGCGTGTTATTGTTACTGTACTCAAAAATCTTTCAGAATACTCGAACAACTGAGATGTGTCTATAATTATAAACATTTATATTTCCATACCCCCATTATTGAATATATTATATATATTTATATATATATATATATAGAGAGAGAGAGAGGCTAGACCAAGCAGTGATCGGAGTAGTCTTCGTACCAGCTCGTTATTTGAATAGAACAAAAACATAAAAAAATATATATTTTTCCCCGTTTCTCGTCTTCACCAATAAAGCAACTCAATTTCCCACTGTTTCATTTATTTAATAAACTACTTTACAAAATGCCTGCATTGAACACTGCACGCATTGCATTATGGGACTTCCGATGCCATAGTGAGGAGTGTCCTGGTTTCGATTTCGATTCTCACGTAGACGAAGTACTGCATCTCAGCACTGCATAAAAATGAAGCCAGCGCTCGGTTGGATTGCACCCATTCATCTTCGTGAGAGCACCCGAAATATAGACCTCCAGCGGCTGTAAGGACCTGCCTAGACTTAGCAAGGAGTAGGCGTACGGCCGGCCGCGTTTCGTACGTTTCTGGCAGCCTGCCTACAACTCCAGAGTGCAGCATGACCCTCCCGGGTCACGGATCATTTAAGAAGCCTAGGACATTCAGGTCATGGAACAGGCTGATCGGCACAGTACACTTCCTTTTCTATTTACCTGCCACAAACTCTTGTACGTCGGGAACCCCCCCCCCCCCTTTTCCCCTACCCCCCCCCCCCCCCAAAGAAAAAAAAAAGCATGTTCCATCACTTTACGCGTATTGGTAGGCAACACCTACAGTATTATAAATGTAAAGAAAGTCAAATATTCGAAAATGCAGGCACTGTATTTGGTCCTGACGTGATGTTGTGAATTGAGGATGGCAAATCAAAACCGAAACTGCAACCATTGGGTTCCCAAGATGCTTTGCGTGGCACAACGCCGCTAGAATCACTTCGATTTTGGAAGAGGGACATTTCCCTAAGACTACATATTCTTTTTGTGGACATGAGACAGCAGTTTGTCATAAGAGCAAAACAGGTCTCGGTCACATGTCCGGTTTCCCCCCTAGACGGCACTGAAACGGTACAAGCATCACAGACACCTCCATGTCACATGGCAAGAATTGTGCTAGAGTGGCTTGAACAGCAAGATGATGAATTCCAGTTAATGTTCAGGCCACTGCATGATCTCGCCTTGCAAATATGGTACAATATTCTTCAGGCCGGTTATCACCGTCTTGTAGAATTAATGCCAAGACGGGTTGGAGCTCTTTTTGCCTGCCAAGGGTAGATGAACTCGGTATCTATACTTTCGCCAGAAGTGAAGCGTCACGCTCAACTCCGCCTCGATATTGGTGGCCCGTTGCATTAGGGTGTCCTGTCACGTTTAACCTTATCCTATCTTGGCATTCTGATCTTGCATATATTAACCTATCTTGGCATATATTAACCTATCTTGGCATCCTGATTTTGTATTCTTGATGACATCGAAAAGACTATAAAATGCCCCTTGATATGTAAGGCCTCGCGGTCTCTTGGCGCTTGCATGTTGTGATGTATTTGTTAAAACACCTAAAAAGTACCATGTTCATGTGCACTTGTCGGAACAAATTTTTAAGGCGATTTCTTGAAAAAACCGATCGTGTGCCACCTGCCATGAATGTCGTAGAGCTTTACTCATTTCGATCGTATACGCAATAGATATCAATGTTATTCTAAATATTTTATAAGAACACGTTTGATGTGTGAACGTGAATCGCAGTTGACAAAGAAGCCTTTCGGATGTGCTCAAGATTTTATTTACCATTTTTCAAACTTTTTATAAAAAACAGTATAGTTAAGACGAATAAACTAAAAAATACGAGACAACAAACATCTGCAACTCTTTTTTTTATATTCTTCGTTTGTTACTTTTGATTAGACAGACACAACTTTTCAAAAAAGGCAGAGTAAGGGCAAAAAAGTACACCGTCCTCCCGGTATATTGCCAACATTTTTTTTTTTTTACAATGCGTGACGCGACGTAGCTTCAGGTGTTACAATTGAACGTATGTTGCCACGTACAAGCACACCGCGAGATATTCTTGGGCAATATTTACCCTATCCGACGACCTCGGATAACAATGCGTCCTACGTGGGAAGGTATCTGCATTAATATTATAAAATACAATGAGAAAAACACCTGCTGCGAAAGCGAAGTACTATATAAACCCGTCCCAGAATTCGTAGATACGTCGTCGCCACCTGTCGTGCAAGATGAAGTCAGTTGTTTCAGCCCTTTGCTTCCTTGCTGTTGTGGGGTACTGCACTGCAATGCTGCTTGGTAAGCCCGCGTTTCCCTAGTTCGTACACTCTGCTTCTTGAGACCTGAAATGCTTGTCTTGGCTCTCAATCTAACAGTTATCGAACTATTCCAAAACACATTATTTTTTTTTTTTAACTGGGCGTGGTCAAAGAGCCGAAGAACGAGGGTTTATGTATATTTGTGTAATACCTACCATCACTAGTGAGAACTCGTTACAAAGTTTGTTGTTACGCATTCCGATAACTGTAAAACTTTAAAAAAGTAATAGAAAAATATTGTTTGCCAGCGATATAAGGCTTGAATGTCACTAACCACTAAAATATAAAACATGCTTAAGAACAGTGTATACTCGTGCTGTATGACTGGGTCGCAAACAGAGAAGTTTTGTCGTGTTTTTAACAGAAGAAAATATAAAGCAGGTTTACTTCTGGTGTAGATCGCGCTGCACCATCACGGTTCAAGACATCTGGAAAGTTGTGGGGAATATTCCTAATGCAAGCTTTCTAAACAATATTTTTTTTCCTAGATTTGTTTTAGAAGCGAGAAGCGTGACATAATTGTATTTCTTTTTTTAGGCTCACGTTTATTTTATCGGATTTAATAAATAAGGTCGCGTAGCACTATACACATTAGAGTTAATCTTGCCTTGTTCACCATTCGTGGGTTACTTGTCTTATCCTTAATCGTTGACTCATATCTATTTACTTTTGTCTTCGATATTCAATCATTTATAAAAAATTATTGTTGCACATTTCAGGATGAAAATTACATATCTCTCTTTTTTACGTAAGCAAATATGTATGAACGTAAAAATTCTTCACGAGAACTATATGTAGTTCTCAAAGCTCTTATACATATTTAACACACGAATGTATTAAATATCGTTTGCAACTCTTCTGCAGAAGAACAATGCAGAGCACCTCACCCCTTTGTAAATTGCGGTGGAAGTGCTCCTTTGAGAACTATCTACTACTTTAACAACGGTACTAACCGATGCGAGCGGGATTATACCTGTGCGAAAGGAGTAAACCACTTTGAAGACATCGTATGCTGCATGACTGAGTGCCCATACGGTGAGTTAGACGCGTATAAGTTCTTTTCTTTGCATCCTCGTTTTTTTTTGTTTTTTTTTCTTATGCTAAATTATTTTGACGCCGCCTTCTACGGCTCTGTGAGTAAATGTATAAGTACCAAACAAACCTTGCTTAGGCTGACTTTTACTAAAACCATTACGCAGTTTCTCCGCGAGGTTGCCACTGTAGTAGGAACTCGCTTCTCTCAGTAGCTAATATGACAAGTTTAACGTTTTTTAGTCAAGCTCGTTACGATCATTTTATACTCGTCAGTTTTAGAAGTTTGATGTTGTGTGTGCACGAAACCTGAAATATAATGTAGCTTATTTAAGAATCAACATTCGAATATTGTCCTTAAGTTAGGCTTTTTTTCTAATATTATATTTGAGAGAAAGGATGCAGCAGAAAACTATTTCTAGACAGATCACGCACCATTGTTTGCACATGCTTCTCAAATAGAAAAGTGTTTTGGCTACAATCTTTTTTTTATTATTATTTTCTCGTAATAAAAATGTTTGCGACCAGGCTTAGAAATCAGTGCTGCTATAAAGCTTACTGAAATTTTCAAGCTAATTCAACGCTCACTACTATGACGAGTCCTTGTTGACACCAAACCCGAGCTGCGTGATCAAGAAAATTATGAATACGATATCTTGGCTCGCTCAGTAATTGTTAAGTTGTTCTCTGATGAGTACATTATTTTTTTCTAGAAGTTGAATCACAAACACGACTATAAAAATCGCGGTTTAATATTGCTTCCTACATGTGTGTCACGTATCTGGGTATGTTTGTATGCGCAGGGAACCACCACCCGCCCGGCAAGCCAGGAAGGGGTAAGTAATGTTCACCAACTAATATTCAGCACGAAACAAAAACTCTCATGCAATAAGAACTCACCATATCAGCGAAACGTTGTGAAGTGATGTTTAAGCAAGATGACTTCCTCATGATTTCGGTTCGGGAAATGTTTGGGTACGGCAAGTCACGGGAGTCCACTTGATTACTGGAGAGTCACCACTAGGCTTATAACATGGGAGCTCCTAACACTGTCTCGCCGTTTCATAGCCGAAAATGGTTCAGAATGGCTGAGCTTGTTGTCCAGACTTCAATCCTTATGTCTACGTTGGAAGTCATTTTCAAACTTTCTTAGCTTTATTGCGTACATCCCGGCCTCCGGGTGCCCCGGACCACTGCACAGACTGGCCATGTCAAGACTATTAATATATTTCTTTTTAAAACTGAGTTCGAACTAGAATTTCGTGTTTTTTTTTTTATTAAGGATCTACTAAGAAAGAGAAGTAAATACTAGTTTTCTTTTATATTGTTTTTAAATTGTGCCATTTGCACATATCTGCAGACCCACACCCGGCAGGCCAGAAGTCAGTAATGTCACCAACTGATGTCCGGCACAAAACACAACCTTAATATGAAAATTGAAAAACAAAACAATTGTGAAAGTTTTGTTCGATATAAACTTAAAAACGCCTCTCCGGTTGTTAGAGTTCTTGCCTACACCTCGCTCCTTCAGGATAGAATAATGTTCTATCCGCTGAGATACATTATCAGAACATGCCGACATTTTGAAGACAATTCAGAGACGTTCGTTTTATCTATGAAAATTTTACATGCGCAGAGGCACCCATCATTTTCCTTAGCTTTACAGCACCAAAGTAAGACAGCTGAGATAAATTTTGTTTTATCAGATTATCAATAAATATCTCGGCTTGTACATAAACCAGCTCTCGGCGAAGTAGACTAGGTGGAAGCAGATCACTATTTAACACACTATGTTACGCATATTAACATATTTCAGTCTCATTCTTTCCTCGAAATAAAAAAGTGGAATTTATTAGCTCAAAGAAATACTTTCTCTTGCGCCTTTATTTAAAAATTGCTATCTGAATTTGATATATCAGTTGACCCTTTTCTTGCTTCATACTACTTGCTTGCCGTGCGTTTCGTGTTTATTTTTTATTTATGTTTTTGTGTAAGCATAATATTTTTACCTGTTCTATATTTCGCCACTATGATAAGGATGCAAACGGGTTTGGTAGTGATGCATATGTTTTAATTGCAGCAACAAACAGTGAAGTTTGCCTTATGTCACGATACTTAATTTTAATGTTTCGTGTAGTGATACATTTGCGCATCCTGCTTGGACCTTCCCGAACCTCATTACACAATTTATTTTAAAAATATAATTATGTGATATTACCTACCGTATAAAACTGTTTATGAAACGAATCAAGAAATCGAACTTTTTGTGGAATGATGCTCCTGCAGAGTGGCGTTAGTCCGCATTCGGTTTAGAAGATTTTGGCCTCCAATCCTAGATAAAGTGATTTCGGTCACGGGAATGTCACGCTGGTATAATTAACAAAAATCACAAATTATAGGGAAATACTAAATTCTGCATCCTTTCCAGGTTGACATATACTGAGCTGGTATTCCAAATTCTATAACATTTCGGTCCATGTTGAAACTTATGCTGAAACCCGAGATGGGTGACATGTTAACCTCATTGATTGATTTAAATTTGCAACTAAGTTAGAGCCAGATATCTGTCGTTTTTCTCATTCTTGAAATATGGACTAGGAAACACATAAAAAGTTAATGTGGTTTTATTAATAGTGCGTCATATTGATTTACAGTTTATTTTTTTCTGCAGGTACCAGTACCTTAGAGGTCTGTACGTATGCCCACGTTCTCCTTCTCTACAGCCTCCCCATGTAGCCGAATGCGTTTGCGCCCCACCTATGTGGGAGCCTCTCCGTGGCCTGCTGGATCCACTTTATGAGAGTGCCTCACTCCCACGCCTGGACAGCTGCTTCCAGTTTATCAGTGACCGTGAAATGGCATTCTCGCATGGGTTTTCTTCACGCCACCCAACAGGTGGTCACTACTGGAGGCCCGACCAGGTCATACCCAAGCGCGAGTAGACGTCTCACTGGTCATATGACGTGTCAGAAAAACGGCCGAACCTCAACAGGCGCCGGTCAATCACTGCATCGCAAATCACGTGAGGCCGTGATTTGCCGTCGTCTGATCGAGTTTGGGAGTCTTTGTGGCACGTCGTACGACCAGTCAGAAGTTTGGTTGCACGTGGGAATGGCCTGACCAGGCCCATAGTGGTTGTCACCTGACGGGTGCAATAATAAAAAAAAAACACTGTGAGGAGGCCATCTCCTGGTCATTAATAAGCTGGAAGCAGCTGTTCAGGTTTGGATGTAAGGCACTCCCAAAAAAGGGTTCCGGCAAAGCAAGGTGCTGCACAGGTGGTGCGGAGGCATTTGTTTACAGGTAGAGTCTCGCTCAAGAAATTGAACGTAAATGCAGACCTGTAAGTGACTGGTATATGCAGCAAAAATTATGTTGATCGATATGGTACGTTTGTTGCACATTGTCTTTAAATTGTGGGTGTGTATGTGTTGTGTGCGCAAGACCACCCGCTGGCCAAACACCGGACAGGACAATAATTTATTTTGGTCAACTAATACCCAGTACTAAACGGAATATCATATGTGGTGATAGCCACTATCTCGGCTAATCATAACCACCCTTCAGGCAAGCTAGCGCATGCAAGCAAAATTTCTTGATGCACCTTAATCTCCATTCGGGTTCAAGGCCTTTTTTGCATTACTATGCTGGAAGTCTATATAATACTATACTATAAAGGGAGTCTGTATGATACTATACTATATAGGGGGTCAATATATTACAATAGTATATAGGGAGTCTATAAAGCATTCGAATGCGAAAGCCAAACGCCGGACGCTGGCATTCCGCGTCCTAAGTCGTTCGACGAGTGCCGTGGAGAAAAAGGCACCTGGCTTGAGGTCTGCCCACTAATTATTCCAACCAGAGCTCTACGTTCTCACATCTCCTCGCACTCTCCTCTCCTCCTCTTCCTCACTTTCTCGGAGCATCACAAACATCGCAAAATAATATAAAACGAGGAACACTAGTACGCTTTTATAGGTAAAAAGAAAAAAAAAATCTGCTAATCAAGATATCAATTATTCGGTCTGCACTAAAGTCAGCACCTAAACAATAGCAGCTGTAACGTAATAACCTCGGCCATCGAATGGTCCAGAAGCAAAGTATGCCATGTCGAGTTCGTTCTTTTATTAAAATGTTAGTCAGTTTAAATCATGGTTATGTGTCGACTCGTCACGTTGCGGTTGTCGCTATCATTAGCGTGCCAGGAGTGAGTGACGTACCTAATCTAAAAAACAAAACAACGCTTGAGAAATATAAATTCTAATTTAGGACCGGTACTTTTCAGTATTTCAATCAAATTAATCAAGTAATGAAGAATATGAGGCTAAGGTTACCCAATTCTCTGAATTCTTTCTTCAGTGGGGTTATTTTCTTCTGAATTATTGCTTGGTTTGTACGCATGCCATGCGCACCTTTCATTTTACCACAATTTTACAATTGGCGTACTTGCGGTGCGCCTGTAAAATCCCAGAAACGCTTAACGAGATTGGAACGCGCCCAAAGTTTAATCTGTGGTGAATTTAAATCAATGCCTTTCTTTCAGGAAGGAAATAATAATCAGCTGGCGTCGTTTGCTCGGCACACACTTCCCGCTGTTCGGTTTAGAAGAAACTTTTCCGACAAGGTGCCTAGATTTTACTGAATAAAGTCGTGCATTAAAAATACATATCATTATTTCATTTCTTGTTTTCTATTTAGAAACTTTTCTGTCATCAAGGTTTCATGCTTACCGCAAGAATTTATCATAAATAGTGCATAGATTTTATCTTCCAAATATTGTAAATCCTTTAATCCAGTTATACAGTTATCGAAAGTGTTCTAGGCCTACTTGATAGATGATGCCGGTGTGTCAATAGCTCTTCCCCTAAGTGGTCACAAACGTTTCCATCATAGTTCGTCACACTTACAAGCAATTGTGTGAACCAGCCTTAATATTTGTCCCTGATGCAGCGAAGCAAAAAGAAACTATGTGCATCACCGAAATATTTTCTCGATAATGGACGATGATACAAAGTGCGAGGCAGTCTAGCTGGAATGTTGATAGAGATGCTTTACAGCAGGTCGAAACCTCTTCGTCTTCTATTTCGTGAAGCTATGGAAAACATTCAACCGAATTTAAAATCATAGCCCAACTGAACATGAACCCGAATTGAAGCATCCAGCCCAAACAAAAACATCCAGTTGTACGAAATAAAGTATTCTATTATATCGAGGTATCACCCGACTAACTCGCTCAGCCGAAGCGAGATGACGCCAACAAAACTGGAGCCATGATCCCGCCAGATGATCAAGCGCAGTCGTCTTGGGCCATTAGCCATTGTCACGCGCTTGGTCATTCCGATTTCTTCACTTTTTAAAAGGCATGTGTGTAAACAAGAACTTTGAGAACCACCTTCTAATTTGCTTGCAACCCGTACATCGTTTAAATACACTGAATATACTACCCAAACTTTCTTGTTACTGTTGTGTCGCACGATTATGAGAATGATCTCCAAAGGTAGCTAAGGTTGGGGTGTCGCTGTTAGATTAGGATGGCGAAAGTGATATATGATGTATGAAACCTGGGACCACTCTCGGCCGCTGGGAAAAGCGAGAGATAGCTACACCTCCCCCACTAGCCTATCATAACAAGGCGTCGGAAGGTATGGGACTACGGCATGGCAACTTGGGATCTCGGTTGTCTCTCGGAGCCACGCAAAGTGGTGTTGCAGCCGTATAAAATGGTGGCTGAGGGATACATAGAATTCTTTTTCCCGGGTGTGGGCCAAGGGGCTGCACATGTCCTTCATTCGGATAGCAGCTAGGTGCTGTGCCCCTAAGTCGCGCAGCCACCAGCCAATATGCCGTATTTTTCGATCTGTAAACCTCGACGTTGTACATATATATTGCACCCCCATATAAATGCCCGTTTCGCCAAAACAGTCGCTAGATAAGCCGCACAATTGTATGAGTCGCACCTATGTTTGTACGTTCGGCACGGCGAAACTGCATCGATAAGCCCATTTTATACCCCTTTTAAAAAGTCGGACAAGAGTGAAAAAGCTAGATCTGGCTGGGTACACTGGACAGCGGTATCCGACTTGAAGGATGCTCCTGGGCCCGTTTGCTCGAAGCGCTAGCCGCGGCTAAAGTTAGCCGCAGTACCGAGGAGTGGGATTTTGAAAGCACGTGACTGGCTCGGTAGGGATGGGATGCGGGGAAACATGGCGGTGCCCCGGTGAGTGAGCGCCGCGTTTGTACGTAAGGTTACGTACGTAAGGCGACGTAAAAGTCCCACCCACAAGCACACACATGCTTTTGTGGACCTGGATAACTCGTGCACACGGTCATTATGCAATAAACGTACGTATGTAAGTATGTATGTTTTTTTTACGGCCGACCTCTTGTCGAACGTAGTTGCTAAAGCGGTCAATCTCTGGAAGACCATTGTTACACATATTAACTACAAAAATAATATGATAACGTAACTTTCAATTGTGTTCAACAGTCTAAATGCTGCCATTGAATCTGCCAAACAAGCATGCGAGGCCGTAGTTTTGGATACCGTCCGCGTCTACGAGCAATGCCTCCACAGGAATAAAACCGTATTCTTAACCGAAACCCGCATGCTTTTCGGGAATAACAATATAACACTTACCTGTAGAGTATAAGTGTCATTTGCAAAACCCTGCGTCTAACGTTCCTCGTCGAACGGGTAGTCGCCACACCGATCGTGGCTGACTTTTAGTCTGGACATCACGGCATAACAAGACAAACAGGGTTTCTACACTTATTCGGGCAATCAAACCACTCTCCATATGATTTATAACAACAAAACGCGATTGTATTGTGAGTAGTTTCGTAACATTGAAACGTGCGCAGACTGGCATGAGAGACGCGGTATCCTTCAAGATGATGTCGCGGGTTAGTCGCCTTTCTGTGCGACAGATGCCGCTCTCTTATTTAAGATCCAAAAGGGGGAGCAGGTTTCAAGATTCTCGCCAATTAATAAAAAAAACTGATCCTCACGGCCCAATTTGCGCAGTTTGCGTTCTTATTTATAGAAGAAAACACACATATGTCGCATCGTTGCATTAAACGGACCCAACGAACATTTTTGAAGAAATAAAAACGCGACTTTAAACCGGACATTGCGCCACTCACGCAATACATTGTTAGTATATTATCACCTCACTGATTTGCTTCTGATCGGAGCTCGTGTTGATTGGCCTAAAAAGGAAACAAAAATATTTCTCCTGGATGTTGAAAGGAGGCGCCGTTTAAATGATCCAGTCGAAGACGCTCTCCGCTGAAAACGGCGCATCGGCCACTGGCTGAGAGATTATTTCAACTTCCACTGACGCTACAAACGACTACCGTATCATCATGCCTCGTTTATCCTCAAAAAATATCGTTCTGAACCCCATGTCCTTCCACGCCGACCGAGAAATCGCGGTCTGCTATGATAATAGAGTAAACGTATGGTATACCCATTTTCATGGTTATAGTCATGCCCTGATAGAATTTGTGCTTTAAGTTTTCTCAGGGAAGAACTTACTGGCTACAGCGTTCACTCTCAAAAAAAAAAGGGTGTATTCTTACATCCTTTGTCCCATATAATACACCCCGTAACTTCAATTCGACGTACAGCGCCCTACAGTCGAAAAGACGGCCCGAAATTTTACGAGGGGCTTGGTAGCCGTGTGGTACAACTTATTAAAATAGCTAATGTACGTTTTACTCACAACAACAACAACAACAAAAAATTGGGGTTTTCTTCGCCCGACTGCAAAAACTCAGTGTTTTTTTATGTGGTGTTTGATACGTACTTCAGCTATTTAAAAAGTTATATCGCACCGTTATCAAGCCCCTCGTAAAATTTGGGGTCGTCTGTTTCACTACAACAATAATAATAATTCTTTATTTGTACCATGCCCCATAACAACCTATTAGTTACAGTGTGGTGGCACATAAAAAGTTTAAAAAGAGGGGGGGGGGGGGGACACATCAAACAGTACACAATCTCAAACGACATATGCTCTTGAAATTAAAACATTTCACAAATCAGAAACTACAAATATGCATATCAAGTAGTCGTTTGAACGGAGCAAAATTTAAAAATATGTCTACATGAGTAGGAAATTCATTTAAACAAATTTGCATTCGAGCCAAAGGGGACGGTCTCGTTTGAATAGATGTATAAAACACACTTGAGTTTCTAACGACACGGCCGTGAACCACTTTGCATAAAAATAAAATGTCACGAGCAATTATTCTGTTTGACAGGTGCTGTAGTAAAAGTTCTCTAAGAATGTATCCATAATCAAAGTAACATTTTCTATCAAAATATTTATCGTAAACAAGGCGTATAAATCGCTTCTGAACTCTTTCTATCCGTGCAGCGTCGGTTAAGGGGGCTGTACGTCGAACTGAAGTTTTGGGGTGTATTATGTGGGACAAACAGGTGTAAGGTGATACCCATTCTTTCAAAGTGTTATCTAAAAAGATGGCAGTTATCTAAAAAATTAACCAAAATAGAATCTGGGGATGAACTCATGGCCATCCTACTAAAATTATGGCATATTTTTAATGCTGCTAAAGAAAATTTCTGGCTCACTCGGAATTCCTCATGCCAAGACTAATAGGTAACAGAAACAGTGATTATCTATAAGGAGAAATCGGGCAAGAGAAAGTTCAATACTCTGCAAGGATCTGAACTTGCCTCCCTGTAGGTCTTCCGGTAGGAGTTTATAAGTAAAGTTCCCTGTTTCCTATAATTTTTTTTTTTTAAGGGGGGGGGGGGGGGATGGCCTGTTTATTTTTCTTTTACAGTTTCGGCTCTACCGATTATTTACTGAGCATGAGTTAGATATTGTGGCCATTCAAGAGACCAAAGTAGAGAGTGAGGGTCAAACCGACAGTATGTTGCGGTCGTTTCTGTCGCGCTATGAAGTCTGCGTGAGCCACGCTGTTGGTTTGTCTGCAGGTTGCTGCTTGTTCATTATGAAAGCTGTTGGTGCTGTCGTCCACACTGTTACGACATGCCCGTCCGGGCGCTTTGTTATGTGTGATTTCACCGCCTATAGTCTTGAGTGGCGGGTAATTTGTGTCTATGCTCCCAATCAGCCCGATGAGCGCAGAATGTTTTTTGAAAATATTTATGGGTTCTGCCAGTGCGATCGACTTATTTTATTTCTAGGAGACTTTAATAGTGTTTGCAAAAGTGAGGACCGCTCCAATGGAGGGCGCTACAGAGACGCCAGTGTTATGGCTTTAAATAACTTTATTGGGCACTGCGAGTTGGAAGATATTGCGCGTTGCGTGCCTCGTGCAAAGGGTCTGGTATACACCCACTTCCAAGGTACCAGTCACGCCAGGTTGGACAGAATATACATTTCGTCAGATTTGGTTCCCCTTAGTGGTCGTTACTCGGTCGACTACGTCTACTTTAGCGATCACTGCCTTGTTACTGTTCAATTAAGTGTCAAGAAAAATGGGCCACAATTTTCGTGGGAACAATGGAAACTTAACGCGAAGCTGATGCGAGATGAGTCATTTAGGAACTTAGTCAAGGAGAAATAGCATGAAGTAGAGCTGAAGGGAGGGTGTGTCATCGAGAAGTGGGAGACCTTCAAGGAGGAGGTAAAAATCAGCGCAATTGAGAAGGCGTGTTTCTTGAAGTTCCAA